TATGTATATAGAGACTATTATTAAATAATTCATATTAATTTGCAAATTATATATACTTTAATATAACTGTTAATAAATTCACATGTCTAATTAACTTACCTTGGAATACCATGTAAATATCATGGTATAGCCTCTAATGCCATCACTGTACTTACCACCAAATATGTTTTTGTAATGGGCATGATAAAATACACAGACACACCATCTCTGGTATCATCGTCAGACAAACTTCCTTTCTTTTCCTCCAGAGTGTCGAAGTCAAACGCCTTCAGGTCTGTGGAGCCGTCAGTGTGTTTGGTCTTCTTGTTCTGTTTTCTCCCGGAAGCTGCCATCTCGCTGTAGTCTGGTCTATTTAAATAGAAGCAGCAACAAAATACAAACTCCAACATGTAAAACAAATTAAATAATTTATCAATCATGAAATCGTTCAGCTTATTTTTAAATAATTAAAATACTACGTGAAAATGATTGAAACCAGATACCATAGGTTATATAAAACGTTTATTCACAAAAAAGCTCAAAATAAAACATACTTTCATAAACATATATTCTTCCTTTCTAGTAAGGTTGTGTTCTCGAAGGAAGCATCTGTATGTTAACTTACCTGAGGAGAGAGTGCGTGGGTGTGATCTCTCTATAACCAATCACGACAGTCTAGAAAACTATCCGAAACGTAATGACTTTCACTACTGTATGTTATTACCTTGCAAGTATTTAGAGGAATTATGAAATATTGTAATTTATTTATGAACAAAAACCAACAACGTTTGACGACGGTTTGAACTCGCGCGTCTCTGAAGCGGTTTCCCGCTGTTTTTATTTCGAGCGCGGGAGGAGGATGACTCACAGCGCGCTGATCACGTGCTGCATATTAATGACCAAAGAGGCACTTCATAATATTAAATATTAGGCTAGTCAAGTCTTTAACTTAAACAAATAATTTATCATTTAATTACTTGGATTCAAAACAAGTAAAAAAAAACAAACAACAACAGTAAAAACGGTAGTTTTATTTCTCCAGTTCACATTATTTTAATATAATGTATCTACAAAAAGTTCTATAAAAAGGGGGGAAACAACAAAATTATGACATTTAAAGTCAAAAGGTATGTTGACTTGAGTAATATTGAGTGTAATGTACAGTATGCCAATGTACAGCTTAGTTTTCATACAACACATACAGGGTTCACATTTTCTGTGCAAAATGACAGACAATTCATGTGCAGGTTAAACATCAAACTTCTCCTCGCATACATAGTGTCCATTTTCCTCATAATCCTCTCGCGTGACCACCATCTCTTCAAAGTCAGGGTTTTCAGCCAATAACTTTCCTCCTTCCCATGGGTAACAAATAGGACTGAAAACAAAAGACAAATATTCAGTCTAGATTGTTAAGAACATATTAATGTCAATCATTCTTTCAAAACATACTTCTGTGGCAGAATGACAGAAACTTCATATTCTACAGGAGCGAGTGCCCGGACTTCTTTGTAAACCCGATCTCTGTATCCAGGGAACAAGGTGTTGCCGCCAGTAAGAACAATGTTCTTGTAGAAGTGGGGCTGCATCTCTGGACACAAAAAGAGCCTTATGGTAGAGTACTTTTAATGCATTAACATTTTAAATCTCACATATATCAAATGAGAGGCAACCTACCTTCTGGCATGTTGTTAATGGAGTTGACCAAAGCCTCAGGTATGCCCATCTCCTGAATGCCAATGTCAGAGGGGTGAAAGAGCATCTCTGGCACTGCAAACCTCTCATTGGTGAGCCGCAAAATCTGATCCCCAGTTTTATATTTGCCAGTAAAATTCATCTCCTCTCTAGGCTACAGCACATAAAGAATAAAAAATTGCTGGATAAGTACAAAAGCAAGTATTGCGTTTTTATTTTTCATATTCAAGAATAGGGTCACAAGAATAGGGTTGCAGTATTTACAAAATGTTATACAATTGATTACCTTGCAAAATCCCTTTTTGATAGAGCTGAAATCCGGCAGCACATATTCTCTCATAACTGTATTATCTTCTCCTTTCAATCTGTGAAATAAACAGAATTATAATTATGCTATACTTAATTATACTGATTTTTGTTTCAAATTCTGTTAACCAAAGCTGCATTCATTTGATCAAAAATACAGCAAAACAGTAACATTGCGAAATATTATTAGAATTTAAAATAAGTGTTTGTATTTGAATACAATAAAATGTCATTTATTCCTGTGATGACAAAGTGATTTTTTTTAGCAGTCATTACTCCAGTCTTCAGTGTCATATGGACATAACAGTGGAAATTTTTATTTATTTATATATATATATATATATATACATACACACACAACAATTGAACAAATACCAATAAAAAGCACCTACAATCAAATCTAACAATTACAGAAATTGAGAAAAATCTATATCTTTATTGAGACCAGGATATAAGAGAGCATCCAATTTATGTATCCAATACGTTTCTCGTTGTTTTAACCATCTAAGTCTATCTTCACCTCT